TGATGTTCCTATTTAATTGATCGTGGGGTTTGGTGCATCTCGACATTAAAAGGTACCACGCAGGTTCAACCCTGTAGCATCAGGCTGCTGCCCTGGCAATTTTATCCGTCACATCCGCTGCTCAAAAGCCGGACAAGTCACAAGTTGAGATTCTGGCACCCTTATTATTTATATCCGATTTCCGGAACGTCTGGGTCAAAGAGCGCAACGTCTAGCTCAACTGGATTCACAGAACATCTGTACATCCGCAGGCTTCTGCTCCAGCCACAATCCGAAGAACAAAGAAACGAGAACGTTGACCCGGTTCGTTCCATTGCCCGTCCCTCAGAGCGAGACATGTGATTTTCCAGCACTGTCGAAAAGATATATAGAAAGAGAGAAAGAGAGGGCGGACGTGAAGGAGTGACAGTGTGGATGTGCAGGTGCGATATAGATGTGTAGATGTATGGAGGTGGAGAGGTAGATCTGTGGATGTGAGCGTGCGAAGATGTAAATGTGCAGAGGCGAGGGAGAAAAGATATGTAGAAAGAAAGAAAGAAAGAAAGGCAGGACAGATGTGAAGGAGTGACAGTGTGGATGTACAGATGTGTGGGTGTGTGGAGGTAGAGAGGTACATCTGCGGATGTGAGCGTGCGGCGATGTCAATGTACAGAGCACACTAGAAGCAGAAAGAGAGAAAGAGAGGGCGCACTCTTGTGGGCCACTCTTGTAGGAACCTCTTGCGGGGCACTCTTTTGGGACACTCCTGATACCACAAATCATCCCGCTCACCAGCGACACGCCGCGTTTACGCCAGCATGTTTCGCGCTCCCCAGTGGCACGGCGCCACCAAACGCACTTTCCACCAAGGCCGCGCAAATCCCAATGGCACTGCGACATCACTAACGTCGCGTCACCACAGGGTCTGCCCAGACACTAGAAGCAAAAATGTCACACGATACCACAAATCATCCCGCTCACCAGCGACACGCCGCGTCTACGCCAGCCTGTTCCGCGCTCCCCAGTGGCACGGCACCACGCAAACACGCTTCCCACCCAGGGCGCATAAATCCGCATGGCACTGCGACATCACGGACGTAATTCGCCACACGGTCTGCCCACACACTAGAAGCAATCCGATCACGCGATACCGCCAATCATCCCGCCCACCAGCGACACGCCGCGTTTACACCAGCATGTTTCGCGCTCCCCAGTGGCACGGCGTCACGCAAACGCACTTTCCACCAAGGCCGCGTAAATCCGCATGGCACTGCGACATTACGGACGTAATTCGCCACACGGTCTGCCCACACACTAGAATCTATCCTGTCACACGATACCGCCAATCATCCGGCTCACCACACTTCTGAGTCCAGCTCCAAAAAGCTCTTTCCCGTATTACATTTGTACTACAAACTGGCCAGGTATGAGTCCAGCTTCAAAAAGTTCTTGCCCGTACTACATTTGTACTACACACTGGCCACTTCTGAGTCCAGCTCGGAAAAGCTCTTTCCCGTACTACATTTGTACTACAAACTGGCCACTTCTGAGTCCAGCTCCGAAAAGCTCTTTCCCCTACTACAGTTGTACTGCAAGCTGGCCACTTCTGATATCTCACCTGCATTTCGCGCCTTCGACGCGCACGGTTGCGCCGGACAAATCCAACGCGCAATCTCACCTGCGTTTCGTGCCCTCGACACGCACGATCTCCGCAGAGGGTTGCCCGCGACAAATCCAAAACGCAATCTCACCTGCATTTCGCGCCCTCGCACGCACAATCTCCGCAGAGGGTTGCGCCGGACAAATCCAAAACGCACTCTTGCCTCCATTTCGCGCCCTCGACGCGCACGATCTCCGCAGAGGGTTGCGCCAGACCGGGCCAAAACGCACTCTTGCCTGCATTTCGCGCCCTCGACACGCACGATCTTCGCAGAGGGTTGCGCCGGACCGGGCCAAAACGCACTCTCGCCTGCATTTCGCACCCTTGACATGCACGATCTCCGCAGAGGGTTGCCCGCGACAAATACAAAACGCAATCTCACCTGCATTTCGCGCCCTCGACACGCGCAATCTCCGCAGAGGGTTGCGCCGGACAAATCCAAAACGCACTCTCGCCTCCATTTCGCGCCCTTGACACGCACGATCTTCGCAGAGGGTTGCCCGTGACTGGGCCAAAACGCAATCTCCCCTGCATTTCGCGCCCTCGATGCGCACAATCGCCGCAAAGGGTTGCCCGCGCCAAATCCAAAACGCACTCTCGCCTACATTTCGCGCCCTCGACACGCACGATCTCCGCAGAGGGTTGCCCGCGCCAAATCCGAAACGCACTCTCGCCTGCATTTCGCGCCCTCGACACACACGATCTCCGCAGACGGTTGCGTTTCGTGGTGCTCCGGCGGCACCACCCCCGGCCTTAAGAGAGAAAGTAAAGAGGAGCGAGAGGTGAAGATGTGAGATGTAGATGTGAGGATGTGAAGATGAGCGGAGATGTAGATGTGCACGTGCGAAGATGAGCAGAAATGTAGATGTACGGATGTGAACATGAGCAGAGATGTAGATGCGCAGATGTGAACATGAGCAGAGATATTGGTGAGAATGTGGATGTGCAGAGGTGAAGATGTAAAGATGTAGATGAGACGTAGTTGCGCAGATGTGAACATGAGCAGAGATATAGGTGAGAATGTGGATGCGCAGAGGTGAAGATGTGAAGATGTAGATGAGACGTAGTTCTGCAGATGTTTTTTTTACGAAGAACCCTTCGCAGGCGCTCTCGGGAAAAAATGGGTGCGTCTCCTTCTCAACAACCGTGGATATTCAGTATTGACCCTCCTCCAATACAGAACCACACATGCCCAAGCGGAGAGAAAATCTGTATTGCCAACAAGTTGCCGACACCATGGAAAAGGGAGTGATGCGGCAATACAAGTGACTCGGGATTGGTACAGGGGTCGCTCGCCTCATTATGCTTGTCATTGCGATTCGATGCCACTGTCAAAGCATGTGGACAGTTCATCGGATAAGGAAACCTCATAAGCAAATTTCAAAGTCGCCGGCAGGTTGGAACATGCGGTCCTTTCACTGCCGATTCCCTTAGGCGCTTTCTTAAATGGAGCGAGTGCTGAATTGGTCATACCTGCCTGCTGATTGGCAAGCATCTTTCGTCCTGTCCGAGCGACTTCATCGATAACGCTTTTCATCGCCTTGGCTGGATTCTTGGCGTTCAATTCAAAAGCGCTGCGCGCACCCTCTCTGACAACTGCATCAACTCTGTCTTGAGCCGTCTGGGATCCATTTCCTCTTCGTCGTTTGCCAGACCATGTAGGCGGAGACTTCCTGGACCAGAGCTGGGCTTCTGATAGGCGACGTTGATCTGGCATACCTTCGCTTTGACGGCAGCTTTCTCTCCTCCAAACATTGAATTTCTAGGAGGTCATCTGTGACACCTTGCTTTTCATCATCACCCAATGTCTCCAGTCGTGGATCGCTCTCACCGAAATGACCCTTGTCTTTCCTTTCGTCGACTGGTCCTTCTCCATGCTCATCATCCCGGCCATGATTGCCGCTTCTCCTCTTCCTGGAGGCTGATTTACATACCCTCCTTCCACCGGGCTGCCATCTTCCTCCATCTCCTCCCTGATCTTCCCTTTCGATATTGAGGAGTCTCTGCCGCTCTTTTGGGCCTTCCCGTGGATCAACCGTGACATGTGGAATCTCTGTCGTCCCCTCCTTCCCATCCAGCACATTGCGGATGGCAATGGCCTCGTTGAGTTTGCGACTCTCTTCCCTCAATGCAGACGATTGCGACGATGGCCCAGGGTGTGATGAGAACAACGAACTTCTAGTTCTTTTTGCCGTCGTAGCCATATATCACCATGGCCTCTGGATCCTCTTTGTCTGGTGCAATCTGGTATCTTGGTACACTATGGCTACTATGGTGCCTTTCCTCCCTCCCAGCCTCTCCTCCAATGCAAAAAGTTGTGCTTTTCTGGTGATACCTTTTGTGATCCTTCTGGTCTCCTGCCACTTAACTAACCATTTCTTTAAAGTCAAGAGAACTAGCACATGCCTTGAAATAGCACAACTCACTGTCCCAAGAGACCATGGTGGGAATGTTGGGGGGCCTCAAGCTGGGAACCTGGACTTTAGCGGCACGTTCGCGAAACTTTCGCGAAATTTCACTGGTGCTTTCCCGGGGAGGCCGTAACATTTTGCAAACATCTGCACAGCCCGTCAGAGCAGCTGCACGTCGTTGCCTCACTGTCAGGGCTGTGCCTACTCAGGTTGCTAGTCTGTGACAGTGGGGACAGGAATCGGAGAATCTTTTACAGTCTGTGACAATGGGGACATGCGGGGACGCTTCCGCCCACCGGCTCTGCCGGAGGACTACCTTGTATTTCTATTCTTTGTCAGTCGGTGTGAAGGAAAACATATGAAAGCGATGACCTTCGATAAATCTTTCGCGGAAAACAAATAGATACTTTCGCGAATCTTTCGCGGATGGTTCTAACAACATCTGAAAGGCTGCTTTATATAAAACTCCTTACGCGGGGTTTTAGATCAACTGCCATATAGCAATATTACATTAGCAACAATAATCATCACCATAATCATCATCGTTGTGGTCATTATCATCATCTGAGAGAGACTGTGATAAAGCCTGATAAAAGAAAACTATATATATGAAATGATAAAAATCTGTGGATTTCTAGCGGGACGAACAATACCTCGCTCGCTTCTGCCAACTTCAGCAGCTCGCCTCCATCTGGCACTCGAGCTCGGCCTTCAGGCCTCCTCCGCCGCCTCAGAGGCTCCGCGGCCAGTGAAGATGGTCAGTCTTACAGATGTTGATGTTGAAAATTGTTTGTGCATCTCATTTTTGAATGTTAAGTAGCTCATTTAGCTACCTACACCATCTTGGATGGTCGTGTAGGGCAAATAACTCACATGACTTGAAACCCAATCTGCCTGGAGCTTGCAGGAAAGATGTCGGCACTGACACACACTATGCAAGACTCAGGGCTTCACGCATCAGGCAATCCCTTCGGCAAGACCTCACTCAAGATATCCTGCAGATTGTGGAGTGAAGGCGTGAAGTACCAGGGTTATCCTTCACCAAAGCATCACAAGCAAAAACCGTCCATCATCTCCCAACGTTACGACTAGAAGCAACAATAGAATCTCTTGGAGCATTCAAGAAGGTATCGCAATCAAAGCACTCTCTCCTGGTCCACCTCATCAAGATTTTTGGTGGTGCATGATGATGGTCTGGAGGGCTTTTGAAGAGGCGGGTCCTTCAAGACCTGCTTAGGACACTCAACTCTCACTCTCCCCGTTACTTTTTCTTCATCTGGCTTCGAAATGATGCATTTGGCTCTCCCTTGACCCTGTCCGCCCGGCCCTGTGTCGCAGGCACGTTTGCTCCAAGGGTCCAACCGTACTCTCTTCTAAGCGCATTAGCTTCCGCCTCAAAACAAAAGACGGCTTGGACCCACACCCAGGTCAATAAGACTGTAAACCGGAGAAAACCAAAGAGGTGCGAACGTTCCTACAACCTACTTCTGTTCTGCAGCTCCTGCGACCCTGACCATCTTTCAAGACGCTCTTTGTCACCTGCAGCCAGGCATGCTCCTGCGGACAACAACGTCTTTGAGTCTGACGTGGCAACCCCAAAGCACTGGCCCGTTGCAGCACGACCCAGCACCGTTGACGACCGCTCCTGCCACGGTGTTGTATGTGACCTGCTCGAGCAGGGTTCGGTCCCAAAGCACGGAAGAGACCGCTCATCGACTCTTCAGGTTACTACTAGCTTCTTGTTACTACTAGTAAGGCACCTGTTACTACTAGCG